ATACAAGTCCCATAAATAGCTCATCAACAGTTACTCTAACGGGTTTTCAAAGTGATAGCATAGATCACTGCATCAAGGAGTGAAAAAAAGCTACATTAGAAAAGCAACGCTGGTCATACATGTAAACATTTCCCTTCATACTCTGCTCCAACCACTTCTGTTTCAACTTATGTGGCAATCAGACCATTAGAACACCTAAGTCCCTGTTCAAGTTTTTAACCAGCGAATTGCACAACTACTATTAGCTTCTGCAAGGGCAGCATAAAGCATGTTATTACAGTAAAGAAAAAAGCATGCAGGTTCTACCTTGTGGTTAGAATGCGGTAAATATATCAGTTCTGTGTTTAGAAAAGCCTTCCAACACCACACTCCTAAACCAGTATAGGTAAGATTGAGTGCCACAGAGCAGAAAAGCAAGATATGTCAGACGTATTTATGCCCGACAATAGAAGAGAACAACAACTTCAAGAGTTACATTTTAAATTTTATATTAATCTTCAGGGTTTCCCCATAATGAGGTTTGCTTGATTTTAGGCACCCCCATTTGTGCTTTGGGTTTTTTTTTAAAAAAAAGACAGCGAAAATATTTAACTAATTCAGTTAAATAAAACAACCAGAATTAAGCAAAAAAATGAAAGGCTTTTTCTAAAGGCTGCAAAGTGAAACTACGCTGTCATGAAGAATGAAACACAAACATCATAAATAACACAGGGAAGTTACATTCAAAGAAAGCATATCTTCACGTTAAACACGTTTAACCTTTTTTTCTTCATAAAATTTCTCAACATTTTTCAAAAACAGTAGTATTATTCCACATAAGAAAGACCAAGCATTCGTACACATGGGGCCACCATCTTATATTATAGGTTTTTATTCTAATAAAATTGCCAATAATGCTCAAGTTCAAACAAAAGCAAATACAGTAATCCCTGTCATGTTACCCTTAAAAAAATAAGTAAATAAAAAAAGAAATCTACAGGTGTCAGGAGCCAAACCAGAGGAAAGATCTTGAAGAACCATTCCGAAGTACAAATCAGGTTAGCATCCCAGTGATTGAAAACCTCCCATGCATGAACAACTCCATGCCTGAAGCCACCATAAGAACAGTACATAAGGTAAATCACCTCCTTAACCTAAACTTGTGGAACATAAATAACTATTTAGGAATCTTTCAAATGTTTTAAGGCTTTTACATTTGTAACTTGCTAGTCCACTGCTGTGCCACTGGAAAGAAAAACAGAACACTTCATCTTCTACGACAGTGTTTTTATTTTCTTAACATACGCAGCAAAAAAAGAAACCATAAGCGCTTATCAGGATGAGAATCAAAGTCCAAACCAGGACCTCACTCAAAGCTGGCTCGCTTTTTCTGGAAAAGGATGTAATTTGTCCAACAGGGAGGACAACAGAGGCCCTGGACGCCGGGGGGGGGGCCCGGGCCAGTTTTAGGGGCAGCAGGAAGGCTGGGGTCAAGCAGGGAAGCGAGCTGGGGTGACGCCTGTCAGCGCAAGGGAGAAGGGGGGCGTTTGACTCAGCGCTCGGTTTCACAAAAAAAGGGCGGGGAACAGCCGTCAGGACACTCTCCCGTCTCTCGCTCCACGCAAGCGGACACATCGCGGGGAGGAGGAGACACGCAAGAGAGGAGACCTGTTGGCACCCAGCGCCTGCCGGCGTGGAAGCGAAAGGTCACCTTGCCCAGAGGCGGCCGGAGAGAGCCCCGAGGAGCCGCGGGGAGGCCGGGGGCAGACGGCCT